TGGGCGGCAAAGTGCTCCGCAATCACCGTCTCATCGGTATGAGCAGTACCTGCGTCGTCTTCTAAGACGTGGATGCCCATGCTCTCCGTCTTCCGGGCCAACCGGGCCAAGCGCCGATGTGTCGAATTCCGCTGCGCGCAACGACGGTGCTCGTCCATATCCCCCTGTGATTGGCCATCCTCCTGGTGTTGTTCCCGCATGTCTGACAACATTTCGTTCCGAGTCAAGCTGACGGCCACATCCTTGAGCTTCAGCAAGGCGTTGTGTAGTGGCGAGTGTGTCGGAGCTACCGTGTCCACCCAGGCTGCAGGGAGGCTGCGCCGCAGGCTTTTGGTGGGAACCACAATGCCCTTGTGGATGTCGACTATGATGGCGAAATCGGTGGCTGCCGTCGGAGGACTTCCACGGAGTCGAGAGAATCCCGGCCAAAGTTGGATTGCTTCATGTTCCTCGCCACAGTGTGCATCGCTGTTTTGAGCATGTGCAATGTGTTGGATCGGATCAGGCGCGTCCCCGTCACGCGCCCGTTGTTTGACGTTGTCGTGGGATTCTCTGGACACCCGGGGCGCGAGATCAGGATGTTGGAGGCATCGGCTCTGCAGCGCGGGTGGCCTGCTTTGCCCGTCGGGCCTGCGGTGTCCGACAAAGACAAGGCGATGGTCCGAGACCGCCCGCCCCGCCGCGTCCCTCCTTGGCCAAGGCCATGCCGAAACCCAAAAACCGCCTTCAAAGAAGTCCGCCGTGTGGTGGTTGGAGTACACTCTGTCCAATCTCGAGCGTGGGCCCGTCGACTGGAAGGTAAAATCTGAATGGGATAGCTCTGGGAGTTTGCCCGGGCCTGCCGCCTGTTCCACCCGGTGACCCTCCTCCGTGGCGTCTGCCTGGCCCGTCGGTCGTGCCCCTTCCAGCATGTGTCGGTCCGTATCCTTGGTTGCCCAGTTGAAGTCACCCATGGCGATCCACGGCGAGTTGGGTTTGTCGCCCATCGCCCGGCGAAGGCGTCGGCGAAGACGACCTCTCTCATCCGCGGCCCTGCGACCAGAAGGCGCATGCAGTGTAGCAGTCACCGAGGCACAGGATGGACCAGAGAGGTGCGATATAGCCGGGCGGCCTGGCACAGCGTCCGACCAGTCGCCAGAATGCGCTGAAGTAAACTGCTGGAGAAAAGCGTCTTGTAATGCTAACCCAACCCCGCCCTGGCGCCGGGGGCCGTGCGACCGCAGATTCATACGCCCGTCCACTGCCTGACATACCTGCGCGTTGACCTCGACGCCGTTCGTCTCCTGGATCCCCACAAAATCGTGTTGAGGTAAAAGTTGCTGCAAATATACTCGTCAAAGATGCTGTCTCGCCAGGTCGTATGCGAGGAGGCCCTGGGCGTTCCATGTGGCCCCCTTGTAGTTCCCAGTGTAGGCCGTGGGAAAATGTGGAGAGCGCGCTGAGCGTGCCATCGTCGAGCCTTCCGTTCGCATCTGCGATGTTGTGGATTGCGGTTAAGGCGGGCTGGGCGTGGTGGGCATCGTTCATTGCGAAGCTGGGGCTGTCGGGGAAGAGCAGGTCATGGAGGAGCACGCGCTGGCCATCCGTGACGACGCGGTCTGAGATGTCCTCATGTCGGGAGCGCGGGTTGTAGGGTCACGTACGGGTATGGAAGAGGTCGGTTGAAGTGTGCGCGAAGTCGAAGATGTCGGAACGACGTCCCGCAAGTCGCCAGCATACTCGGCGGTATCTCTCTCGCGTGGCTGCGGCGAGTGCGCTGTCTGAGATCGCCGCGGAGGCGATCGCCGTGGAAACCAAAAGCGTGATGAAGCAGAAGAGGGCGTAGAAGTCGATGAAGAGGGCTTAGAAGTCGATGAAGAGTCAGATGAAGAGTCGGATGAAGAGTCAGATGAGGAGCCAGATGAGGAGCTGGACGGGGGGCGTGGTGCTACAGCTCTGACGCGTGAATTCGGAGACGATGCGGAATCTCTGGTCGTCATAGTGACCTCAATGCGCCCGAGATGCTGGGGCGGGATAGGCGGCGGCCCGGGGCGGCGTCCTGGAGGTCCCCGAGGTGTTGGAGTGAGCGGCAGAGCCGCCCTGGAATCATGATCAAATTCATCCAAGAAGCTCATGCAAAAGAGTTCAACCCGCGGAGGCAGCAACCCACGTGACGTCGTGGTGCTCCCTGGACGCGAAGGGCCTCGAATGCTGGAAGACGGTGGGCCCGTCGCCGCCTCGGGGCCCCGCGTCCCGGGCCTCTCCCAAGAGTGCGATCGGCGTAGTCGTGTTGGAGCGCCGCCCCGAGCCGACGGGCGCCAGCGGCTCCCGCGAAACAGAGGCCGTTTGGCGATCGTAGCCGTGAGCGCAGGCATGGCCGCTTCCGCGATGAACCCGCCGTCCCAAGTCCCGCGATGTCCTGCCGCTGGGGCGATCTGCCCTGCTCGAGGGAATTCCCCCAGCGTCGCCGCAGACAGAGCGACCCCAGTGCACTCCCTGAGCTTCTGGATGAGGTGCTCCATGACGGTGGTAGGGTCAGCGCCGGTGTCGCACTTGATCAGGACGTGGATGGGGCGCCGCGCAGGGCCTGGCAGACCCCCCCCCAATCGCCTGCCATCGTCGCGGCCTCGGGCCGCGAAAAGGGCATGTGGGATAACCCATGGCCGCCCACCCCCGGTGCTGAGGCGCCAGGAAAGCTTGAGAATGCGGGCCTGCTGTTGTGCTTCTGCCTGCTCGGTTTGGAGCCGCTCCCACGCTGTCGGCGACGTTGATGTGATCAGCGCGCCCTTGCTGGAAGTACGGGGCGTCCGCCGGTCCCAGAAATCGGGCAGCGCCGCAATTGCGTCCGGCTCGCTGAACTCGATCACGAGTGCTCCAGGATCCTGCATGAGCAGCGTGTGGCCGAGCGCGATGCCAGGTAGATGCCCCATGCGGGTCCGGAGGTCGCGGATCAGCGGGGTGGCCTGAAGAGCCGCGAAGACGGCCGTGGCCCCGTCGCCGTGTAACCGTACAAGACCACGCGTCTTCCTGCTCCGTGGGGTAGCCGAAGACGACGGCCTCCGAGGCCGATGTGGATGGGGCCGTGTCCGTCCGGTGCGTGACGGTTGGCGTAGGAATGCCCTCGGCAACCTGACCGAAAGTGATGACAGCCAAATGTTATTCCAAAATCCGAAGCCCCAGCCGCCCCTCAACCAGCACCCGGACTGGAGGCTCCAGGAGCAGGATAGCTCTGGCCCTTTTGCCCGCCTACCCCCTGAGAAGTGGAGGTGCCCAATAATCCATGACATCTGTGGGTGATAAACGTCCAGGAAAAACTGGTCGTGACGTCAGCAGCGACAGCTGGGCCTGTGGTTTCGCCTCGCGGAGCGCACGCACCGTCGCCATCCAGCGGCCGATGCGTGTCCGGTCGTCGGGGGCCCATCATATCCGTCGGTGCGCGCCTGTCTCGAGGAAGGCCGAGGCAGCGGTGGGCGCGTCCTGCCCGGCCTTCTCGTGCAGGTGGCGGGCCGTGAGCAGTGGGCATGTCGCGGAGCTAAGGTCGAGCCCTTGCAAATTAGACAGCTGGCAGAGGACCCGTTCGCCCAAATCCTCATCGAACTCGCCCTGCAAGAACTTGAGGAACGGCACTTCCACCTCCTTGTGCCGAGGGGCCGTGATCTTGGCGCGACGGCGCCTGGTGTCCTGGAGAGACGGCAAGAGTCGCAGACAACTGCAAGCATCCTGCATAAACTTCGCCGCCAACTGTCGACATTTCCGCGCAGCCTTGGAGTCCCCGTGGCGGGCGGCCACGGCCTGCAGTACCTGGGAAGACAGGCGGGCACGCGACCCCACAACACTCTCATAAGGGATCCCAGCAAAGTCTGAGTCGTTCCCAAGCCAGCGTGCTCTCGTCATTGAAGCCCAGCATGTGCAGTCCGGCCAAGACTCCCTCCACAGAGCGGAGGAGGGTCCTTGTGTCCATGTTCTGGATTGCGCTGGCCACCGATCGTCCGGCCTGGATGTTGTCAGAGTGGAGCGCGATGTGACCCTCAAGCAGCTTGACCAGCTGCGTGTCCATCTGCGTAACCTGCGGCTTCCCGATGCCAGGAGGAGGAGGAGGAGCTGGAGCGACTGATGTCAAATGTGTCGCCGCCATGCTTTGCGTGAGGCCGGTGTCGCCGTCGTCCTCGTCCATCGCCCACGCTGGCGCAACAAATGCATTATCCACAATCCCATCATCCTGCGTCTCACCTGGCATAACCAATAGATCGAATGATCCAGTGGGAGCCACGTTCGGAGCCACGGCGCCGCTGGCCGAACCACCTGAAGCAGAACCTGCGGAGCCTGTGGCAGGTATGGAAAATCTACCTAAGTCTGGGATGCCAGTGAGCAGAGTGCTCGGTCCACCACCCTGGAGCCGCAGCTGCCTGAGCTGCAGGAGCACCGTGCCCTCGTTCCCGACATTGTAAGTTGAGACCGCGCGTCCGGACTCCATCAGCCTTCCCGCGTAGGTCAAGCATTGTTGTTCTGTCGGGATGCCCTCCTTGTCCTGGATCGCGCTCATGAGTGAGTCGATCGTGCAGTCAGACTGGACATCCAAGCATATTGCTTTACGGCCCAAAGTCTTCACGAAGATCTGCCAGTCTCCTGTCGAGGGATTCTGTAGCTCCGGCTGGCCGGCATGGTCACGGTGGGTGATGAGGCTCTGCTGCTCCTGCTGATTCCAGGACTCTTTTCGATTGTTGTCCGTTTCGGCCGCGAGGATGCTGCGCAACTCGCCAGTGAGCAAGGAGGAGGAGGAGGAGGAGGAGGAGGAGGAGGAGGAGGAGGAGGAGGAGGAGGAGGAGGAGGAGGAGGGAGGAGGAGGAGGAGGAGGAGGAGGAGGAGGAGAGAGAAGGAGGAAGTGGAGGAGAATGAGGAGGACGGGGGCGAGGCAGACGAGGTCGAAGAAGCAGAGGAGGAGAGGGAGGAAGAGACAGAGAGGGAGGATGAGGGATGAGCGGGGATGTGAGGGATGAGGGGAGGATTCCTCCCCCGACGGCCCCGTGGTCCCCGCAGCGTGCCGCGAGCCGCGGCAGCGGGCCGCCCAGATCGCCCCTCGGCAGTGCCATCTTCCCCTCCGCCGCGGACGAGCTCCGCCTCGGCGCCACAGCGAAGGGCACGCGGTGCAGCAAACATCCCCAGACATGTGGTGGCTCGAAAAACTCCACACGGACGGCCTTTCACCACGCTCGGCCTCTGGAGGCCGCCTACGGTTCCCTGGGACCGTCAAGAGCGACTCGGGATGAAAAACTGGCCCTGGGGGAGGGGTCGATAGGCCGGGGGCCCATGCCTCGAACAAATCGAGCTGCCGGACCTCTGGATCTGCAGGGTGGCTTCGACTGACCACCGCCTCATCGATCTGCCGTGAAAGACACGGGCCCTGGATTCTGGCGCCTTTCTTCCAGGACATTCATTTTTCATCCAGATTATAATTTTCGCAAGCGTCCTGTGGTGCTGGGTTCTCGTTTTGAAGAGACAGCGCCCCGCATCTCTTTCTTCCCTTCCGATGCCCTCCCTCATCCCATCCCTGTCATCCCTGCCTCTGCCCTTCGCACGTCTCTGTTTCGGCACCGTCATACGTTTCGTGGGAAGGCTCCCGTGGCAGCGCTCGCATGCGTCCCCCAGTCCATGTCGGCACATCTCTCACACGTTTCGCGGCCCCCCAGGGAGCTCCACCGACGGTTCGAGTGGCAGCGCTCGCATGCGTCCCCTGGCCCCTTTGGCACACCCCTCACACGTTTCGCGGCTCCACAGGGGGCTCCGCCGAAGGCTCCTGCGGCAGCGTTCGCGTGCGTCCCCCAATCAATTTCGGCACACCCCTTACACGGTCCGTGGCCCCAAGGGGAGCTCCGCCGAAGGCTGTGGCGGCGCTCGTATGCGTCCCCACAGCCCATGTCGGCACACCCCTCACAAGTTGCATGGCCACACAGGGAGCTCTGCCGAAGGCTCTACTGGCAGCGCTCGCATGCGTTCCGAAACCTATTTCGGCACACCCCTCGCACGCTTCATGGCCCCACAGGGAGCTCCACCGAAGGCTCCAGTAGCACACTCGGATGCGTCCACCAGCCCGTTTCGGCACATACCCCTCGCACGTTTCGCGCCCCCTATCGTTTTGCGTTTCCTTCCCGCGGCGCGCTGCCTACCAGGCGGTGGTCATACCCTGCGTGCTTCGCAGCTGCGTATGGTTGGGTCCTTCGGCGGGCTTAGTTTTGAAGGCCCTGGGGCCCAGCGAGGGCCCCAAGAGCGCGAAATTGGCGAGAAACCGTGAGGACCTCTTTCCGCCAGGACTCCTTTCCCTGATCCAGCGGCGGGCCCAGGGGGGAAGGGAGCAGGAGAAGGCCTTCTCAGAAGGCTCGGAAGCCCCCTCGGGCTTCTGAGAAATGTTCGAAGCCTCCCCCGAGGCCACCAGAAGCTTCTCAGAGGGCACGAGGGCTTTTGAGAAGCCCCGCCACCTTCTGAGGAGGCCTTCTGCTTCTCCTTTCACAAAACGGATTGTCATATTTCTGTTTTTTTGGATCGAGGACGTTGCTGTTTCCGGTGGTCTTTGGTCCAGAGTCCCGCCGAATGTCACCGCACCACGACCCCGCCAAAGGCGAGGCCATTGTGCCAGTTGAGCTTTTTCTGCTCATCCAGCCTGATCGTTCCAGTCTTGAGCTAGCACCGAACCAGGCGCAAATCAAAACATCTGCTTCTCATTTCCCCCAATGCGCTCGCCCGCCGAGCATCGGCAAACCACGCAGCCAACTTCAGAGGCAACCTTTGGTCGAGAGGCTGCCTGCCGGGGCTCTCCCTGGGGCGGCTTCTGCCCCTCGCCACGGAGCGCCTTCGACGCCTTGGACTCGGTGAGTTCGCGCCTCGAGGCCTTCTGCTCCTCATTTCCCCCCCTGCGCTCGCCGCCGACTTTGGTGGCGACCGATCCTGGCTGGGATCCCGTCCTGGGCCCCAGGGACCCGTGCGTGCGCCTCCCTGGCGAGGCCAGGCATGGCGTGCGCACCGATCCCTGGATGGAACATCAGACGTTTTTGTTGTTCGATGTTCATGTATATATATATATATATGTATATAATACATCTGTATATAAATTTATGTAGGTATATTGCTGCTGTTTGCAAGGTTGTTGTTTGTAAGTTTGTGTTGCTGTTGTTGTTGTTGATGTTGTTGTTGTTGTTGTTGTTGTTGTGGTTGTGGTTATTGTAGTAGTTGTTGTTGTTGATGTTTTTGTGGTTGGTGTTGTCGTTGCTGCTTTTTTGTTTGGTTCTTCACATGTGCAACATCAAAACTGACTAACGGTATGACAGCCGGTAGCCATAAACATGATGTTCCACCAAGGATGGGCCTGACTAGGACGGGTGTGATTAGTTGGCGTCCCTAGAGATCTTTCTCGTTCCAGGAGCCCCGCAGCAAGACATGTTGCGCCTCTCTTAGTGGGCCGACTGTTCCTTCCACCGCCTTCCGCTGGCGAAGCGGCACTCGTTTTGCTTTCCTCGGCTTCCGCCAGTTTTCTGGCTCCTTCCGCCAAAGAAGACATGTCAACCTATCGATCTCTCGAAAGCGAGAGGCCTTTTCTGAAACGTCTCATCTGTAGTACGGGTACGAGGTAGGGGTGCAAGGCTCTTGTACGCCCAAGCTGAAGACTCTTGAGAAGTGCACGGGCGAGAAGCTTCAAGGATGCAAAAGGACCCAATGAAAATTACTCATCCTTACCACGGGCTTTAATTGCAATCGAAAAATCGGATCGATGGAAAAAGAGCCCTTGGTCGTGCTTCACGGGTGGATGACTGAGGGTTTTGGATGTTAGTCGCTCTTTTGGGCCTCCTGGGATCTCCTTGTCGCCACGGCTGGTTTCCTCGAAATCCTGGCCAGAGAACACCCCTGAACAAGTCTGGGGGTCGACTCGTGATCAGGGACCTGGACCTCTTCGCGTTGCGAGCAAAACCACGACGGGAATATTTTGGCAATGTTCTGACACCAGGGGATCTTGCTGGGTCCTGGGACCGCCAACAAAAAAACGACTCCAGATGAAGAGCATGCCCAGGATATGGGGTCGAGACCTCTGGAGGTCCACGTTGTGAGGGAAACACGATGTCGGGGTTCTGGGGCGGCAGGCTCGGACCGATGCAGGGAATTGGCGGTTTCCTGCCACCCTCCTGCGCCAAGATGTGGCACATTCAGTCTGCCGCCTTCCCAATACATCCGATGTCTGTGTTTTCCACACGGGGCCCCTGGAAGTTCCGATCCTCTCCACAAGGCCGCCATGCCACCCCGAGCTGTCTCGACGGTCCCACGGGCCGGGCGACGGCCCCTGCAGGGCGAGGCGGAACGCGACGAAGAGCCTCCGTCTCGACTCTCCCCGGGCGTGGGGCGTCGGGGCCCCTGCCCGCTGCCAGGGTCTCCGCTGCGGCGTGCCCGCGTCGGTGGCGCCGATCCGCGCCCAGGCCGGCAGAGCGGGGCGACGGGGGGCCCCGGAGGGGGCAGCGTCGGACACGATCGGAGCTGCTGGAGTCCTGAGCTGCTCGGCGGTGGCGCGCCGCCGGGAGCTGCCGCGAGGGGGTGTGCCCAGAGGCCCGGCGGCTGGCTCCGCAGCGTCGTGGCCCCGCTCTTTTCCCTGGAGTGTTTTGGGGGCAGGGGAGGCGGGTCTCGGGTCACGAGCGACTCGGGGTGAGGAACTGGGCCCGCGGAAGGGGTCGAGGAGAAACGTCGGAGCGCCAGATGCCTGGGCAGCTGCATTGGCGACTGCACCCGCCGCGGCACGCAGCCCAGGGGCAAGGTCGACCAAGGACGAGGGCTCCGCATGGGCCATCACCATCTACTTGGCAAATCCCGCGGGGACGTCTTGCGTGGAGGCCAGCGAGGCGGGGTCCTACCAGATGGGGTCGGAGGATCGCGCGGCACATCCGATGCATCGGCGATGTGGCGCAAACTTCCGACCCCTTCCACTCCGACCCATCAGTGCGGCCTGGAATGGCTCCATTCTAAATCAGTTTCGATCGCGCGCGGAGGCCGCTTGCGCCCCACGAGTGGAGGCGGCCTCGGGAAATATGCAACGATACACGCTTTCTGGTGGTCGTGGCCTCGCGCGCAGCGACGAGGCGGAGTCAGTCGAAGAGGGTTGGGTGCGGGCGTGCAAACAGCGGTACACACCCCACCAAAGAAGAATTTGCTGGCAAGTTACTGCGGAGTCATGCGATCTGGAATGACCACTTTTCACCTAAGCACACTCCAAGCGAGTTGGCCTCGGCGCCGGGCGCAGGATCATTTTCTAGGTCAGATTGGCTTCTGGTGTGGGGCTTCAGGGGGGCGCGGGGTGGGGGGTGCATTTCTGAGTGCGCGGGCCAGACTCCCGTGGGGCCCGCACCAACAGATCACTCTGGCGAAGGGTCACTCTGGCGCGTTGCAGGTGGGCGCAGTCCGCGACCGGCGGCGGGGTTGCGGTCTAGTCAACTCAGACATCAAGCGGCTGGATATTTTGGAAGCGTGGGCCCACACGTCTCTCGACCCATTCCCTGGAGCCGGTTTTGCATCCCGACTAGCTCCCAACCATCCTGTGGTGTTGGGCCCTTGTTTTGAACCCGCAGCGCCACGCTCGGCCTCACCTTCCTCCTCCTCTTCCCTCCGCATGTCCATGTCGGCCAACCACTCACGCGTTTCGTGGCCCCAGGGGGAGCTCCGCCGAAGGCTCCTGCGGCAGCGTTCGCATGCGCCCCCCAGCCCATGTCGGCACACCCCTCGCACGTTTCGCGACCCCATGGGGAGCTCCACAAAGGCTCCTGCGGCAGCGTGCGCATGCCCCCCTCAGCTCATTTCGGCATGCCCCTCACACGTTTCGTGGCCCCACAGGGGGCTCCACCGAAGGCTCCTGCGGCAGCGTTCGCATGCGTCCCCAAGCCCTCTTCGGCACACCCCTCAAACGTTTCGTGGCCTCATAGGAAGTTCTACGGAAGGCCCCCACGGCAGCGTTCGCATACCCCCCCAGCCCATTTCGGCACGGAGCTCCACCGAATGCTCCTGTGGCAGCGTTCGCATGCGCCCCCCAGCCCATTTCGGCACACTCCTCATACGTTTCGTGTATCCACAGGGAGCTCCACCGAGGGCTCCAGTGGCAGCGTTCGCATGCGCCCCCTCGGCTCATACACACCCCTCACACACCCCTCAAACGTTTCGTGACCCCACATGGAGAGGTTCCTGCGGCAGCGCTCGCACGCGTCCCCCGGCCCATTTCGGCACCCCCCTCACACGGTTCGTTGCCCCACAGGGGGCTCCACCGAAGGCTGCAGTGGCATCGCCCGCATGCGTCCCCCCAGCCAATTTCGGTACACCCTCACATGTTTCATGGCCACACAGGGAGCTCTGCCGTAGGCTCCAGTGGCAGCGCTCGCATGCGTCCCCCTACAAATTTCAGCACATCCCTCGCACGTTTCGCGACCCCACATGGAGCTCTACCGAGGGCTCCAGTGGCAGCGTGCGCATGCCCCCCTTCAGCTCATTTCGGCAAACCCCTCACGCGTTTCGTGGCCCCACAAGGAGCTCCACCGTAGGCTCCTGCGGCAGCGTTCGCGTGCGTCACCAAGCCCTTTTCGGCACACGCACACACACCTCAAACGTTTCGTGGCCTCATAGGAAGTTCTACCGACGGCCCCCACAGCAGCGTTCGCATGCACCCCCAGCCCATTTCGGCACAGAACTCCACCGAATGCTCCTGTGGCAGCGTTCGCACGCGTCCCCCAACCCATGTCGGTACACCTCTCACACAGTTCGTGGCCCCATAAGGAACTCCACCGAAGGCCCCTGTGGCAGAGGTCGCAAGCGTCCCCCAGCCCATATTTCGGCGCACACTACACACGTTTCCCGGCCCCTATCTGCATGTCGTGTGCACCATCCTTTCCGCGGCGCGCTACCTATAAGGAAAGTGGTCATACCCTGCGTCATTCGCCAGGCTACGATTGGGTCCTTCGTCAGGCTCATTTGTTGACGGTCCCGGATCCCGAAACCAACCTCTGGAGGCGCAAAGTGGTGAAAACCCAGCCGTCTTGAGCTTTGTTCGAGCCGCTGGATGTCTGGGAAGCGCGGCGCCACCGCATCCCGTTCTCTTCGGCTGGGTCCTCGGCCACGGATGCCGGGGCTTCCGCGCCGAGGCCGCGGCCGTTCCGACGCGGGCGTCTGGGGGCCGTGCGTCCTCTCCCTGCATCCGAACTGCAGAAGGCATGCTCGATCAGAGCTCCTGCTGCAAGAAATCGGGGGGCACATTAGCCAACGATCTCTGAACTTCCCTAGATGCCTCGAGGCTTCTGCGGGTCTCCAGTGCCACCGGGGGCCCTCCTGCCAGCCTGGATTTTGTGTGACGCACCTGCTGTACTCGGTTTGGCATTGCAGGAACGAAAGCGGAGAGGGTGAGAATGAGGAGGAGGATGAGGAGGAGGAGGATGAGGAGAAGGAGGATGAGGATGAGGAGGATGAGTATGAGGATGGGGAGGAGGAGGAGAAGGAGGAGGAGGAGGCGGAGGAGAATGAGACGGAGGAGGAGGAGGAGGAGGAGGAGGAGGAGGCACGGGGAGAGCAGGCCAGGGACGAACAGATGAGATACAGACGATGCGATCCCTTTTCAACATCTGTAGGGACGAACTGGGATCTTTGCACCAGAATATTGCGAGTAGCCTCGAGAGAGGCCCGGTCTCTCCACGGCAATCGATCCCTGGAGGAGGAGGGTGAGGAGGAGGAGGAGGAGGAGGAGGCCGAATATAATCTCAGCCCTGGATAGGGCCAAGCCGCTCGACGCAACCGCCGCTCTCCTGATGCTCCCGCGGGGCAGGCGATCGGACCGCGCGCTGTCCGGCCGCGCGGAGAACGGCGTGGGTGAACCAGCGGAGGGGACGACCGAGGGAAGGTCACGATCGGCCAACACATCCGTATCCGCGCCCTCCTGGCCTGGATTCTGGGGCGCGATCCCGCGGATACGCGATCCGCATGGATACGTTCCGCGCGAGGCATCCGCGACAAAACCCGCAAGGCCGCGGACACGCGTGTGCTGTTCGCCCACGAGAAGATGGGGGGCCCCGATGCCATGGCTCGATCTCCTGGTCGGGCGGCGCGGTCGGCGCAGCGTCGGAGCTCGCGCAGCGTCGCCCGTGGGGAACGGTCGGAGGGCGAGGGGCCGGGACGCTGTGAGCGGGACGCGAGCGCGCCGGGACGAGGCACGATGAAGCCCTGGTCGTCCACGGTCGCCTGGCACCCCTCAGGTGCGCTGGCCGGCCGCAGGGCAGGGAGCCGATGTCAAATCACACAGGGGATCCGCGACAATCGAGAGCTGGAGACGGGATGCAGTCACGTCTGAGCTGCGGCAAGAAGCACGCGTGCAAGACAAAGAGAGAGAGAGAGATGAAGCCAGTAAAGAAGTGAGCCCAGAAAGCAACAACGCGTGGTACGGCCGCGTTTCTTCTGAAGGCCCTGACGGGAGACTTGCAAACTTTCGCCTCGTTGCCGCTCATGTGGATCCCGAAGAGCGTGTGATTGTTCTTCAAGCCCTCCGCCAAGATCAGGCAATCACTGGCGCCGTGTGTGTTTGAAATTCTTTTTAATATTGCGTGACGACGCGGCGAGTGTCCGCACCCGCTGACCAAAAACCGTTTCAGACTTCGCTTTCGGTGTCCCCGCTCCCCTGCGCCTGCTGCTTTGCGTCGAGGCCAGAAGCCAAGACACGATGCAAGACACGATGCGCCACCAGAGGTTGGCACACTTTCGATCTGGCCAACGATCTCTGGACTGCCCCTTCCACAGTTGGAGTGCATCCTCGGAATCGGTCGGGATATCACCGAAGTCTCGCGGCCGCCCGAGCTGCTGCGAAGGACACGAGCGGCTGGCGTCTTGCTGGATGGAGATGTGGGCAAGGTAGCTAATCCAAAGAAACAAAGAGAGAGAGAGAGAGAGAGAGAGAGAGAGGGGGAGAGACAAGAAGAGAGATAGAGAGCAACACAGAAACAAACACATACGGGAGGGATGCCTTCCCACGATCCCCCTTGGCTGCATTGGCCATGCGCCGACTGACCTGTGCTGCAAACATCGAAGCCAACTTTTCTCTGGACTGCTTGTCGTCACCCAATTCCCCCAGTAGGTCCATACGGGGGAATTCTGAGGTAGAACAAAGAGAACGAGAGGTTGTGAAGATTCATCATGCTCTGCGACTGACTCGTGGTGGTTTTATGCAGAAGTTGCCCGCCTGCTAACGAAACAATTGTAAGACAAGTCGAGATGGAACATCACCTTGCCATCTGCGAACAGCGAGGAAAGCACCTCAAGTTTTTTTTCACGTGCTGCAAGTCAACCAAGATCAGCAAACAATTTTGACAGTACATTAAGTGCGATCTGTGCGTCTACCACCTCTGTTCAACGCATCTGCGGTCACATGACCTCCATGCCAAACATTGACCTCACCTCCTGTATCGATGTCCTGAGTACAATGAGAGTCTCGTGTGAGAACACTCCAAATTTCGCAGCAGGTCGACGTTCAGTATGGAGCAGGACGCAGTAATCTATTCCCCGTTCGAAACATAACACATACCACATGGTCTGGATTCTTCTGGACCCGCACTGGGCTTGGACAAACTCTTTCATGGGGTGATTCGCTGAACTGTCTTCGGGCTCTGGTGCCCGCCTGTCCCAGAGCCCGTGCAACATGTCTGGAGTTTGTCCACCACACGCTGGTTACGGCACGACTTGCAATGATCGCGAGTGAAGGCTTGTAGAACCGGCCAGAGCACAGCCATGAAAACACTCCCTTTGAGCATTCCCCGGGAAAACCCACCGTTGAACATCAGACCAACAACGCTGGGGACCGCCTTCTTGATTTCTTCTGCCATCCAGATCCCACTTGGCTGTTCTGTTTTTTTTGCAACCGACTTCCTTGTCTCTCCAATTCTACCATGCGGACTCTCCCTGATAGTGCTGCCGTTCTTAAGTAAGACTGATAATCAACGACACGTTCAGGGGTGAGCGGGGTCGTCATAGTCGACCCCCTTGAGGTGTGGGCTGACTCAGAACACACGGCGCTCCAGTCAATTGGCTGTCTCGTATCGCGCATTCTTGGAAAGAGGCGGCTTCTGACATGTCCTGAAAACGAGTCTTGAATCCTGGGACCTCGCTCGGCCAATTCTCAGTATCCTGAATTTTTACCATCCATCTTGAGGTGTCGGGTCCTCGTTTTGAATCCGCAACGTCCCATCTCCTTCTCCTCCTCTTCCTCCTTCCTCCGTCCTTCCTTCCCTCCTCCTCCTCCTCCCTCTTCCCCTGCCTCTTCCCTCCGCGTGTCTCTGCTTCGGCGCACCCTGCACACGTTTTGTAGCCCCACAGGAACTCCGCAGAAAGCTGCCATGGCAGGGGTCGTATGCATGACCACGCCCATTCTGGCACATCCTCACACTCCTGAAACGTTTCGTGGCCCCATAGGACCTCCTCAAAAGGCCCAGACCACGCCGATTCTGGCATACCCTTCCAGTGTTTCGTGGCCCCATAGGAGCTTCAACATGGGGCCACAAAAAGCCCAAATGGCAGGGCCCGTGTGCCCACCACACGCACTCTGGCACACCCCTAACATCTCTCGTGGCCCCATAGAAAGCTCTACTGAAGGCCAACACGGCGGGGTTCGCATGCCTGAAAACGCCCCCCCTGGCACACTCCTCATACTGTCGCAGCCCCAGAGGAGCTCGACAGAAGGCCCACATGGGAGCGTTCGTATGCCTGACCATGCGCATTCTGGCACACCCAACACACGCTTCGTAGCCCCATAGGAGCTCCACATGAGGCCCCCTTGGCAGAGCTCGTATGCCTGACCACGCTCAGTGCGCTCGCCCCTACCACGTTCTTCAGGCCCGATCGGCAACTCCACGTGAGGCCCCAGTGGATGCGTCCATACGAGGACCCCGCTCATTTCGCTCGCCCCTCTCACGTTGTTAAGCCCCCTATCAGGAGTTCCAGTGGCGGTGACCACGTAGCGGCCTCCCACCCACCTCGCCCGCCCTTTGCCAAGTATTTCAACCACCACAGGGAGCTCCACCCACGGCGCCAGTGGCGGTGACTGGATGATGCCCACCCCCATTTTGCCCACCGCTGTAACTCTTCCAAGCTCCCATAGGGAGCTACACCCAAGGCCCTAGTGGCGGTGTTTGCGTGGCGCCCCCCCTGTTTCGCCCACCTCTGCCACGTCTTTTCGCCCCCACAAGCCCCCGTAGGGAATTCCACTTCAGTGCCCCGGTGGAAAGGCTCGCATCGCGCTTCTCCCTCTGCTTCGGCGCACTCCTCACGAGGACCGTGGCCCCATCGGGAGCCCCACCTCTGGCCCCGGTGGTCGGGTTGTCGTGGCGGGCCTCCCCCATTTGTCGAACTCCTGGCGAGGATCGTGGCCTCACAAGCACGTCCACCCACGGCCCCGATGGCAGGGTTCGCGTGGCGCCCCACCCCCCGGCAGGGAGTCCCGCGTGCGGCACCCGAGAGCGAGCCCCCTCCGAGGAGGAGCGCACCGCGCCCCTGCGCGCCTGCTCCGCGGCCCCTCAGCCGCGCTGCCCCCCCCGCGGCGCGATGTGCACGGGTGCACGCAGCTGCGCTGCACGCAGCTGCATTTGGCGACGCGCACCAGGGGGGGTCGGGGGAAAGGGGGAAGGCTTCTTGGAAGGCGGCTGCTCCTCAGAAGGCGCCGGCCCGTGCATCTACAGACAAGGCCCGCGCCTTCCGAGAAGCAGGGTGCTTCTAAGACGCCTTCCCCCCTCCCCCGACCCCCCTCTGCGCGTGGCTGATGAATGTGGTTGGGCCTTTCGCCAGGTTGATTTTGTGGCCCGTGGAAGGCGAGGGAAGCTGAGAACGGGAATACATCGTCAAGACCCGGTCGGCGCAACGGTCACGCTGGGGCCCTCCGTGCGCCTTGGCCGTGCGGGTCGCGGCGCCGTTGGCGTCTTCACCTGCTCGGGAGCTGCGAATCACTCTGGGTGTCGGGTGTGACAGCGCAGACGCGCCGCCGAAGACACGCGCTGAAACACATAGTCATCTCAACTGTATCTTCGTGCTCTGGGGGGAGAAGGGGAAGGCTGGAGCACGGAAGGGAGGCGCTGCGAGGGATAAGGCGAATGCGCAGGAGGGAGACGAAGGCGCCAGGGTGAACCTCAGCCAAGCCACCCCTCCTCAAACCGGACAGCGGCACAAGAAATGCGCCTCAGAGGGACGTTCATATCATCTCCGCAGCTCGGGCCCCGCTTCCCAGATCTACTCATCGGATCGTGGTTCCCTGGCTTTCGGCCCTGCCCAGAAACAACGCCACCGATAAGCAATGACACCATGCTTCGTATACGCTGCGCCGTGCACCGTGGACCCTACGCAACATGACGAGCGGATCACGCCCTTGGGCGACGGTGTTTTCGGATTGCAAGGCCCCGTCCCCGAGGATGTTGCCACCGACTCTGGGAGGAAATGGGACGGGGAGAGGAGGGAGGATGGGAACAGAGGAGGTGGGGGATGCGGAGGAGGGCGGAGGGATGGATGGAGGAGGAGTACTTAGAGGAGGATGTGGAGGCGAAAAGAAATGAGGGAGGAAGCAGGTTCGCGTGATGAATCAGCAGAGCACTGCTTCTTCTCATCCCCTCTATGTGGCCGCACGCACCCCCCCCCGAATACTCGCGAACTTCATCCTGGCCAGTTGTGCCAACCCTTCCAGAAATCGTCGCCCGATTTATTACTGCGCTCGAGCACTTAATCTCACGCGATGTTGTGGGATTCCTGCTGTCCCCTCCAGCTTCCGCAGAACTCCCCCAACACGTCCCACATTCCACTCGCATGGAATTGCTTCTGGCTTCATCACTCTGCAAGATAATGGTTGAACGACTCCTACCATGCAAAGGCTGGCTGCTTAATCTGCATGAGGAAAATCGAACAAACACATCGCACAAGACAGCGGCTGTGGCTCTAGCGACGGCGACGGCAGCAGCGACGGTGGACTGACGCCAATCCCTGCAACAGAGTGACATGGTTAGGGCAACGAGGACCGTCCTATCATGGAGGGTATGAAGTGGCGAGACAACTTGGCCACAAGGGGTATCTCGCCCCGGTAGAAAGCCGTGCTGACTTAGACATGCTGTGGCCTGCTGGAAATTTAGTTGCGTTGCCGGAGATGTCTAAACGTGTGAAACACTCGGATACTAAGCATGTCCGCAACCGCCTTGGCTTGTCCAGAGACTGCGGCTCCGCCAGTGTGTGTGTGTGTATGTTTGTGTGTTCGCGGAACCCCTTAACACCCCAAAGCTCGTATCGCACCCTGTGGTCCCTATCGCGCCATGTGGGCAAGACCTTATGGGCGAGACGCGATGGGCGTGACCCATTCGCTCTCAAAACTTCCGAACTGGTGCACAGGACCCTTTTGGCGGCACTCCATGTCACACGCCGGGACGAACATGGGAACCTTTAGTCCATATGGGCGAGACAGCATGGCACTCAAACATCCGCGCGTCTTCACACCCATGTCTGAAGAGCCAAATGAAAACCCTTATGTAAATGATCGCGCTGTTTGGAGAACTTCCCTCAAAATTGTCACGAACGTGAGCGAAGCAATCCGTGAACCGAGGTGGTCCCTCATCGCGGAGCCTAGAGCTCCAAGCTCCAAGCTCTCCAATGCCAGCTTGGGGTCTTGAGGCCATGTGCAATGCGATGCCAGGCCGTTCCGCACATGCTGTAACCCAAGCATGTATGCACGGGCAGACTTCCTTGAGAGCGCCAGGTAACTGTGCCGTTAACATGTTACATAACGAGCGCAAAATAAGGATCTCTCCATATACAGGGTCCAAGCCACCAAAGAAAGAGCGACCATTTTTCTCGAGCTCCACTTCTAACGCGGTCAGGGCTGGTATAGCTCGCTTCAGATATTCAGGCAGTAGCCCTTCATCTTCCTCCCAGGACACTCTACTAAGGAGAAGCTGGCACGACAAGTGCTGTGATTTCGCTTCGTGGATCTCAACGGAGCCTGGAATGGACGCACCTACTGCATTCAACTGTGCCGTGTTTGCAATCTTGAAGATTTCGTCCTGCATATCGTGGACTCTCAAGGATCACACAGTGGGTGACGGAAGACCAGCAATATACCTGCAGATGACAGCAGTCTCTGCCAGCTTTGAGCCATCGGCAAATTCCATGAGTGGGGCCTGTCTATTAGGACAACTCTCCTTCGTCCATCCGTACCCAACGGTGGAATGGGTAAAGTGAAGACCAGCATGCAGCTAACATATGTGGTGGTTCACCTCAGGCCGAAGCGGCAAATAATCAAGCGCTCCAACGTTCGGCTGAGAGTGCAAAGGTGGTACCAACGGTCTCGCTTCTTTTGCCATTGGCAATGCGGTAAGGATTCGGTTCGAAACATGCCATCGGAACCGCCGAAGCATGAGGAAAAGTAGCTTGCAGCGTGCGTGGAAATAGCTACAGAAGGCGACAAGCTTGTTCGCGGGTGTGGGCTAGAGTGTCTCCACGCTCCTGAGCTTTAGCGGGTAACAAGACCGTTGGCAAAGCAACCAATGGGCGCTCAGACTCAGTGTTACCGCTTGGTGAAACAAATGCTAATCGAAATCACTGTGTCAATTTTGCTCATGTTCCCGTGCCAGAAAAACAACAACAACATCAAGCTGCAACTCAATTACTTCACCGCATAAAGAACAACACAGCCGGGACAACAGACAAATCTGGAAATCCTGAATGCAAACGTGTTGAAATCTCGCTTTCACTTCCGCCGCCTTCCGCCGGCGGACCAGCCGCCGTTTTGCTTCGTGCGCCCCGTGCGTGCAGCACGAGGCCTTCCCTGGACCGCCTCGTACGTGCAGCACACAAGGCGAGACCTCGCCGGGCCCTGTGCCCTCCTGGAGACGCCACGGGATCTCTGCGGCACGGCGGTGCAGACCGCATGGGCGAGACCCTATGACCGCATCGAGATCACTGCGGCACGTGGTGCGGCACGAACGGGCGGGACCCTCTCTGGCTGCACCGGGGACTCTGCGGCACGTGATATGCAGAAGAATGGGCAGGACCAGCTGGCCGCACAGAAGTCTCTGCCGCGCGTGGTACGCTACGCATGGGCGAGGCCCCTTGCCGCACCGGAAGGACTGCAGCAAGTGGTACGTAACTCAGGAGAGCCGGGGGACCCTGTAGCCGCACCGAAGAAACACTTCTCTCCCAGATCCTGACGGCCGAAAACTGTAGACATGGCATGCCCGACACCTGTGCACCCAGCGCCTAGTACCTCAGCGCCGCTTGCACCCCCCGAGCACGGCAAATCAGCAGGTCGGGTTCCGCAGTTTCTCGCTTAGCAGTTGTTGGAGGCCCTGGGGCTCTGTCGTACGATGGAAAATAAAAGCAGGGAGGGACCTGCGGTCGACTTGCCTTGCGTCCCCAGTGTGCAGCGTCGAAACGAGCGACGGATTGCTTGCTTTGGATGCTGACGAGAGGTAGGAGCTCATGCAACGCAAAGGCAAGGTCAGCATATTTCGCAGAGAAGTGACATCGCCTAGCATGTTCCAAGAGAGGTCCAAGCGCAGCAATTGGCCGCCCACAGTGCAGTTGTTCTCGTACACGCCCCTGTGAGCCATCCCAGGGGAGGTTCGATCACACTGTTAGCGCAGTGGCCATCAAGCAAGGCGCGTACAATACACCACAAAAACCAACTCTCAGATCCTAGCTGATTGCAAAACCGATGCGTTTTGTCCATAAGAAAAGCGAGCGTCTTTGAACTTGGTCTCATAACGGATGGTATGCAAACGCACGTTCGTTTCATCTCCGTCGTCGAGTGCGGCAAATTCATCAAGGTTGCAGAAAGGATTGAATGGGCGGGGGGACGAGGGAGCATGGGGAGGAGGACGGACGAGACAGGGAGAAAGGAGTAGCGAAGGACAAGATGAATGGTAAGGTCGAATCTTGGTCAAACCGTCACGCAATCAGGGATCTGGGGGTCCCCGAGTAGTGTGGCGATCACAGCTCAGCGCTGGAGACAGACACGGGGCAATACTGCAGAGACAGAGGGAAGAGAAGAGGCAATGGGAAACGAGGAGAGGTGATAGTAAGCAGGGCAGGGAACAAGGGGACAGAGATGGGGAGGGGCGAAGGCGGGGAGGAAACGAGGTACAGGGAATCGAAGCGGGGGGAAAGCCATCGGAGACCCAGGACTGTGGTGGTTGTGCTAAATCGCTGGCCTGTGGATCGACTTTGCCCCCGTCGCTTCCACCCTGCCGTCTTTTAAACCTGTTTCCTCCCCCACCCCCCCCTACCAGTCCCCTCCAGCCTTCTGGTCAAGCAAAACGATCAACGGGATGGCCACACCTTATTGCTTTATGGATGAAGGACCTAAGAAAAAAGAGGAGGACAACTCCCATGCTGCCACGGGCATGTCCCGCACATAAGACTAACTGGTATGTGGCAATGCGGCAGCATTGCAAAGGAAGAGAGATCAAGGGTAAGAAAGAGCGACGGCATTTTGCACTTTTACAGGGAGTCATACGAAAGCACACGCACATACGCCAATACCCCACGCTTGCATGCCAGCCGCCAGACTTGAAGATGCCATGGAAATGCCAGAAGACATATGATAGCTACTCTTCCTGGCCTGGAGACAACTGTGACGGACCATATCGTAGGAGACGCACCGTTGGGAAATCATGGATGACAGTGTACAACATATACAATCTATGGCTTGGTCGCGTAGCACTCCTCCACTGCGAGCTCCCTCGCTTATCGAAGCAAGAGGCCTCTAATGCTTCAATTGTCGACCTGCTAAGAGTCCTTCTCTGCCGCTTCTTTCTTCCTGAGACGCTCCTTGATCTGCGAGCCCTGCTTCATAAGCGGTCGGCTCTTCTCCAAATCCCCCTGTTTCGTCCAGAAACATGACAGCTGGAATAAACAATTCGCGAACTCCTCGCATTCAGTCCCGTAGTTCTCCTCACAGAGTTCCCGCTTTCGACGCAAGACCCCGTGCCAATTATTCTCGTCTTTCGCATCCTCGTACCACTTCGCCAGCGCGTCCAGAGGTTCCATCAGCTCTGGCCTGTCGCGCCCGTACTGAGCCTCGAAGTGCCGCAACAGCGGCTCTGCCAGCAGCCGGCTCGGGCTGCGCTTGAATTCGGCCAAGTGCGCATCCAAGCACAACGCCCCCACTCTTCCTAGAACAAGCGAAAAGTGCCACAAACAATATGTTCGGAGGTCCGCGCGGACTTCTCGAGTCGGCGCAAAATCCCCCCCCTATGGCGTCGCTTCCGGCGCCGCCACTGGCGCGTTTCGCGCGCTAGGGGGGTCTAGCGCCAACCCAAGACATGCACGCGGAGCTCGAGAAGTTGACAAGGAAGCTAGAAACACACGTGGCTGGATGGTTCTCATGCCGAAGATGTTTAGAGGCCTGGAAATGGTCACCAACAGCAACACAGGGGGTTGCCTCCACAGGGGAAAGATGATCCTAGATTTCGGCGTTGGCGGTAATATTTCGGTCCCCATGGAAGCCAAAATATTACCACCATCGCCAAGATCGGAATCTTCTTCCCTCGATAGAGGCGCACCGCCGATATTGGTGATGGTGTCCTGGCCGCGCCGTGTGCATCCGGCTTCCTGGCACGTCTCTGCCGCTTTTTTCCCTTCGGCTTCCGACGTACGCTGCCCCGCAGTCTGGGCACTGCGGCGCCACGGCCTTGCGGCCCGCCTCGGCCTCCTCGCGCAGGTGCAAGCCGAACGCCCGCGCCGCGCAGGACGGGCGAGCCGGGCCGCACGCGCACGCCGCGGCCAGTGGCTCTGCTTCTCCGTCCTCCTACGGGGAGTACAGGCACTGTGTCGCAGCTCGCCGCCGATGGCACCTGCACGTCGCGATGACGTCGGCGTTTGTCCCTGACACGGGTTGTTCAGCCTTGAACGGTCGCGGCTTCTCGTTAACTGGGATCGTGCGATATCGGCGGACTCTGGGCCACGGCGTTCAACCTTGAGCGCCCGCATTGGGGCTGCCGCCGCGTCGACGCGGAGCGAATCTACAGTATCTGGATCTGTTCAAGCGGCGGTACCGGGTCGTAAATCATGCATTTCCTGTTGTTCATGTTGTTGTTATGTAAGCTCTCAAGTCCAGTAAATAATCAATTGTTGACCAGCCACTCTGGTACACACTGTGATTCTTAAGTTGACGTGCCGAAGTGCCTCTCCCGGGGCTCGCACTCTGTCTTTTGCTGATGGAAATCTTGTCCTCAGACTTGGCTGCTGGCCCCCGAACCACAACAACGACGGCTCCCGACTGCTACCTTCTGCGCATTTTTTTTCAGAATCGCGCCCTCGCGTGGCACTTCCCCAGCAACTTCCTGCAGGCATCGCGCTCTCGCGTGCCACGTCCTCGCGATTCCTTCCTGCGCCGCGCCCACGACGCTGAGGAACCGCGCTCTCGCCCTGGACTTCCTCGAGACTTCCCTGGGATCGGGGCTCTCGCTCGAAGCTTCCTCGCGATCCCTGCAGGACGTCCACGCTCCAGAGACGCGCCCGCTCCGCCCACGCCGCGTGGGCCCGCCCGCCTGGGCCCGCCCCGTCCGGGCCCGCCCACCCGTCCCGCCCGTCTGGTTCCACACGTCTGCTGCTCCTGGCACCCTTTGCTGCGAATCTCTCTCCCCTCCTCCTCCTCCTCCCTCCTCCTCCTGCTCCTCCTCGTCCTCCTCCTCCATTCCTGTTGCTAGTGAATAATTTCTCCCTGTCGCACCCAGAGGCCAATTTTTAGGACGGCCCTGGCGTTTCGCCTGAGACTTCCTCACCATGTACGATTGTAGTGGCCTCTGGCCAGGAAGTCCCTGGCAACAGAAATACATGAAGCCCACACGCGCGCACATGCTAAATCTTGTGCTCCATCCTTATCCCCCTGTCCCTTCGTTCGGCCCAGCTCCTCTTGCCATCGCTCGGGCACCCGTTCCAAGTGCGCTGTGTCGTTCTCGTGCGCGCTCTTGTTTCTCGAGATGATCGAAGGTGCCCCAAAAGGGCCAGGTGGTCTTGGAGGAACCATCCGTCCTCTCTTCCCCTGCCTTAAGGGCTGCGCCAAATACACGTGACAGGTGAGGACGATCTGCTCCCAGAGGGTACGGTCGAAAGGGAAGAGGGCGGGCATCGAGGGTTTGGGGCATGCGTGTCGAAATGGCACGCGGGCAGATAAGAGCGATCAATCTTAACATTATGGTTCTGAGTTCGCATGTCTCAATCACAGCTATTGCTGCTCCCCCCTGGCTCAGCGCCCATGGTGTTTTTTATCTTCACGTGCTCCTCCTGGGGCTCGCACTTGGTTTTGCCGAAAGAACTTGGGCCTCAGAATGCGTTGTTGGCCCCCAAACTACCACAACAACAGCTCCCGCCTGATACTTCTTCATGGTATGCTCAAAACCGCGCTCTCACGCGGGACGTCCTCACACTTTATTCAGAAATCGCGCCCTCGCGTGGTCCGTCCTCGCAACTGATTGCGGCGCCGCTGATATCTCTCGTGCTCCGTCATTCTCCCTCCCCATTGCCCCTTCCTTCCATCCTCCCTCTTTTCCCCTGCTTCAGGGGCTACGCGAGCTGCACGTGGCATGCTGCGCCAACTACACGCGAGCGAACAGTGTGAACATGATCCTTGCTGAGCTCTCCTGTCTGCAGAGCAATTGCTGTCGATCCCGCCGTGCTGCTGTCGTGGTGCCTTTTCCCAACCCTCCTGCGTTGGGTGCTCGCTTTGAACGGAGCCCTGCGGTCGCCAATCCTTCCTCCCGCCTCTCGTCTCCTCTCTCTTCACATGCCCCGCCTCTTCTCTCGTGCCTCCTCTCCTCCTCATCTCGTCTCCTCTCTTCCCTCCTCATCTCTCCCGCCTCTTAGCTCCTGTCTCGCCGCCCTCCCTGGGGACTCGTTGGGAACTGCGAGCTGCGAATCTGTCGCCGCTTACGTGGGCTCCTGGGGGGTCGAGCGGAGTGACGTCCTGCACATCTCAGACGAGACCTCGCCGTCGCTGGGGGCTGCGAACTGCGAAACTGTCGCCACTTTCGTGGGCTCTTGGGAAGTCCAGCGGGGTGACGTCCTGTTCAGAGCACACGAGACCTCGCCATCGCTAGGGGCTGCAAACTGCCACACTGTCGCCATTATCGTGGGCTCCTGGGAAATCCAGCGGAATGACGTCCATCTGAGATCCGATGAGACCTTGCCGTCGCTGGGGGCTGCAAGCTGCGAAGCTGTAACTGCGAAACTGCCACCGCGTTCGTGGACTCCTGGGAGGTCCAGCGGAGTTGCGTCCTCATTAGTTCAGATGTGACCTCGCCGTTGCTGGGGACTTCGAGCTGCGAGCCTGTCGCCACTTTCGCGGGCCCTTGGGATGTCCAGCGTAGCAACGTCCTATTCAGATCGGATGAGGCCTCGCCGTCGCTGAGGGTTGCGAATTGCGAAACCGCCGACACTTTCGTGGGCCCCTGGGTACGAACTGCGAAACTGTCGCCACCTTCGCGGGCTCCGAGGAGGTACAGCGGAATTGCGTCCTACCAAAATCTGATGAGACCTTGTCGTCGCTGGGGGCTGCGAACTGCGAAATTGTCGCCACTTACGTGAGCTCTTGGGAGATCCAGCGGGATAACGTCCTTTTGAGATCCGATGAGACCTTGCGGTCGCTGGAACCTTCGAGCTACGACACTGTCGCCACGTTCGTGGGCTCCTGGGAGGTCCAGCGGAGTGACGTCCTATTCAGATCATCGGTGACCTCGCCGTCGGGGGGGGGTGCGAGCTGCGAAACGAAACTGTCGGCACGTTCGTGCGTTTCTGGGTGCGAACTGCGGAACCGTCGCCAAGTTCGTGGGCTCTGTGGAAGTCCAGCGGAGTGACGTCCTATTCAGATCGGATGAGACCCCGCCGTCGGTGGGGGCTGCGAGCTGCGAGCCTGTCGCCACCTTCTTGGGTTCCTGAGGGGTCCAACGGGGTGGCATCCGATTCGACCAGATGAAGCCCCACCGTCGCTTGGGAGCGCGACAACGACATGGCGTGGGCCGCGCTGCTTGCCCAGCGCGCTGCTGGACAATGATCGCAACTCTCCTTCCTCATGTGTCGTCCTCTTCCTCCATCAGGCGTCTCCTCCTCCGTCCTCCTCCTGCCCCTCGCTCTCATCCCCATTTCATTTCCGAGCCTTGGGCCCGAGTCCTCGTCCCTGTATTGTTGTCCTGTGGATCGTGCAGGGCGCGCATCCCATGTAGCATCACAGAACATGACGGTTCACGTGTTGCCATCAACCAAGCTAATCCGGGCAGACTCCTCTTGTCACTTAGAGCGCTGCGGCCTTTACTCCTTGCTCCCTTCACTCCTTCCTCCCGTCTTCTCTCTTCCCTCCTCCTCTTCAGTCCTGCCTCTTACCTCCTGCCTCGCCGCCCTACCGGGGGGCTCGCTCGGTGCTGAGAACTGCGGAGCTTCCCCCCTGGGAGGTCGAGCGGAGTGACGTCCTGTTGAAATCCGACGAGACCTCGCCGTTGTTGGGGTCTGCGAACTGCGGAACTGTCACCACATCCGTGCGTTCTTGGGTGCGAACTGCGACACCGTCGCCACGTTCGCGGGCTCCCGGAAGGTCCAGCAGAGTGACGTTCTATTGAAATCATATGTGACCTCGCAGTCGCTTGGGGATGCGAGCTGCGACGCTGTCGGCACTTTCGTGGGCTCCTGGGAGGTCCAATGGGGGGAGCGTCCTACTCAGATTGGACGGGACTTCGCCATTATTGCAAACTGCGAATTGCGGAATTGTCGCCGCTTTCGTGTGTTCTTGGGTGCGATTTGCGAAGTGCGAATCTGTCGTCACTTCCGTGGGCTCCTGGGAGGACCAGCGAAGTGAAGTCTTATTCAGATCAGATGGGGCCTCGGCGTCGCTGGGGGCTGCGAACTGCGAAACTGTCGCCAACCTCATGGGTTCCTTCGATGTCCAGCGGAATGATGCCCTTCTGAAATCAGCTGAGACCTTGTCGTCGCTGGGGGCTGCGAATTGCGAAATTGTCGCCACTGTCGTGCGCACCTCGTCTTGTTCAGATCATGTGAGGCCTCGCCGTCGCCGGCGGCTGCGAGCTGCGAAGCTTTCGCCACTTTCGTGTTGTCTTAAAAGATGACGTCCTTATGGAATCAGATTCGACCTCGCAGACGCTGGGGGCTGCGAGCTTCGAAACTGTCGCCACCTTCGTGGGCTCCGGGGAAGTACTGCAGAATGACGTCCTTCTGAAATCAGATGAGACCTTGTCGCTGGGGGCTGCTAGCTGCGAAATTGTCGCCTCTGTAGTGTGCGCTTCGCCTTGTTCAGATCATGTGAGGCCTTGCCGTCGCCGGCGGCTGCGAGCTGCGAAAATGTCGCCACGTTCGTGGGCTCCTGGGAGGTCCGGCGGAGTGACGTCCTATTCAGATCATCTGTGACCTCGCCGTCGGTGGGGGATGCCAGCTGCGGATTTGTCGCAACTTTCGTGTGTTCCTACGGGGTACAGCGGAGTGACGTCCTACCCAGATCAAATGAAACCTCGCCGTCGCTGGGAACTGCGAGCTGCGAAACCGTGGCCACTTTCGTGGGCCCCTGGGAGGTCCAACGGAGTGAAGTCCAATTCAGATCAGTTGGGACTCCGCCGTCGAAATTGTCGCCACGTTCGTTGGTCCCCAGGAGGTCCAGACGGGACCTCGCCGTCGCTGGGGCGTGCGAACTGCGAATCTGTCGCCACTTTCGTGGGCTGCTGGGAGGTCCAACGGGCAATACAAGACAAGACAAGACAAGACAAGACAAGACAAGACAAGACAAGACAAGACGAGACAAGACAA